TTGTGTGTGTGTGGTGAATTGTTGTTTTTTTTTTAATTTATTTTTTTTATTACAAAGGGTGTTACATATGTGTCCGTTTTTTCCCCCCTCCCAAGACAGTCCCCTACCTATGTTCATAGCAGCACAATTCACCATAGCTAAGATCTGGAAACAGCCTAAGTGCCCATCAGTAGATGAATGGATTAGAAAACTGTGGTATATCTACACGATGGAATACTATGCTGCTCTAAAAAGGAAGGAACTCTTACCATTTGCAACGGCATGGATGGAACTGGAGAGATCTTCCTTTAAGTGTTCCACTTGTGTAGCTAATTGAGTCATTCTCTGATGTGGTCTGTTGGTTCTGGCGCCTTTTGGGAGGGACTCTGGCATAGTTCAATATTAGACTGCTCCTGTAACAGGCCTTGTTAAGAGCTACAAAGTGATCCATAGTGTGTGTGGTTTTTTTTCTTCTGGGCCTGAGTATATATGGAAAAGGCTGTATTGTGTACCAAAACCAGCTTCCACCAGCCCCAAGCTTGGGGGAAGGTCAGAAAAAGGCCCAAGGCACATTGAGATTTATCTCTGTTAGCTGGCTGTCTGTTAGGCTCAGTCACTGAAAGATCCTCTGGTATTTACTAGATTAATACAGATTCAAACTGGACACCAATGCTGGGTTTGAGGCCACCCAGAAAATGTCCCAGGCTATACCAAGGTCAGTCATCACTCATTTGTAGTTTGTGGAACTTTATTTTATGGCAGGATCTCAGGGAGTCATCAGGGTGAAGTCAGTAGTTTCATTGGGCTAAAACAGATTAAGATTTGGCCCTGTGGATGGATGAATCTGCATAGGATCAGTGGCACTGGTCAGGGCATGTGGGAGAAAAATAGACCTTTTGAAAAGACTTCCAAGAAAGTTTGCACCATGGGCCCATGCTTGTGATAGACAGCAGACTCGTCATGGCATGAGCTTGGCAAGGTGGGGCAATAGGCAGTTGGGAGGATGGGGCTAGTGCATTACCCTAGGCTGGCATGGCATGGATGGGCGTGCTCAACCCAGATAGCATCTGTGTGAGGTGTGGGAGAGGTCAGCACAAAGACAATGGCAGCTGTCCCTATAGTCCTCTTCTTGAAGACACACAATCCAATCTTCCCTGTATGACTCCAGTCCTCTCTGAGCTACCACCCCTTCACTGGTATCCAGGGTGCATACTTGCAAATGCAATATTGTGTCCTGACCCTTTATGAGTTTACCTGGGTTCTTAGCAGACTCCTGTCTCCCTGGCAGATGAAATCTCCTCTGATTTCCACGGGCAGATGTAATGTGGGCTCTTCTTCCTGTCTCTGGTGCTCTGGGCTGGAGAACCTATGGTGGGGTTGAGACTCCTCACTCCTCAGGGGAACCTCTGCAGCTAAGATATCCCTCCTGATTCTCAACTGGCACATGTGGGTAAAGGGCTAGCCTTTTTCATGTCTCTGCCATTTCTACCAGTCTCAATGTGGCCTCTTCTATAAATCCTTGGCTATAAGACTTCTCTTCAGCTAGTCTTTAGTTAGTTATTCAGTATGATTGTTCTATAATTTAGTTTTGATTCCAGTTTGGTCCTGGGAAGAGGTGAGTGTAACTTCTACCTACTCCACTGGCATCTTGGATCTCCTCATTCATTACATATTTTTAGCTCCAGATTTTTTATTGGTTCTCTTTTGCTTACTTTTATCTTTTTGTTGAACTTTTCATTTTGATCATGTATTTTTTATTTTTTAATATATTTTTTATTTTCAGAGAGGAGGGGAGAGGGAGAGAGAGATAGAAACATCAATGATGAGAGAATTATTGATTGGCTGCCTCCTGCATGCCCCCCACTGGGGATCGAGCCCACAACCTGGGCATGTGCCCTTGACTGGAATCGAACTTGGGACCCTTCAGTCCACAGGCTGACGCCCTATTCACTGAGCCATCCAGTTAGGGCTATTTTTTATTGAGTTATCTGTTTTCTCATATATCTCAATGAATTCCTTTAAAAGAACTATTTTGAATTCTATGTTAGGCAGTTTGTAGATTTCTGTGGCTTTGGAGTTGGTACTGAAAAATTACTATGTTCCATTGGTGATATCTTATTTCCTTAATTATTCATGTTTCTTGTATCCTTGCTTGGATATCTCCACATTTGAGGAATCAGTCACCTTTACTTCACCTATGATTGAGTGCAAGGGTGCCAGGTCAGTGGCATTACAGCAGATTTGCCTTTGTGGGTGTTTAGCACTGGTTCTGGCTCTGGGGAGTGCAGTGGTATAGTCTCTACGCAGCTCCATCTGCTGAGGCCGGTGTCAGTGAATACTGCAGTGCTCTTCAATGTCTGAGTCGGAAGGTGTCCATATTTGTAAAAAGGGGTATTGGAGTCCTCAATCATGAAGGCTACTTGGATCCTCCTGTTCACATTTTCCCCCATGAAGCAGAGTCATGGCTGAGGGCATCCATTTGGCACCATGTCTAACATGTGGGTGTCACACACAGTAGCTCTGGCTGCTATCTCTGAGATGCACATAAAGTAGCATGCCACAGAATTCTGTGATGTAGACCTCTTCACTGCTGCAGTGGTGCTGTTGTCTTGACGGAGGGACAATACTTGTTGGGTAAGAGGAGTCAAGTTACAGCTAATTCTGGTGGGACTGGAGCAGCAGTTGCTCCTTCTGTACAGGGTAGCTGGAGTAGACCTGGTTCCTTCTGGGGGGCTAAGTAGCACCAGTTTCTTGTGTGTGTGTCGAGGGGAGAGTGTCAATAAAACAGTGGCTCCTTTTCTGGGAGAACACAAGTGTTGAATCCTTATGGATGGAAGTGGCATCAATGGCTCCTTCCTGGGGAATTGAGGTCTTGGCAGCTTTATGGGGAACAGAGTATCAGTGGCTTTTTGGTTGGGGAGTGAAACCAGCTTATTTGGGATGTATGGAACAGTAGCACTTCCTTCTGGAGAAGGGCAGATTATCACTTGTTCCTTCTCCTGGGAAAGTTGGCATTGATGGCTTCTTTTTATGGGGAGGGTGTGGAAGAGCAGCAATTCCTTTTGGGTAAGGTAGGCAAGGACTGGAACTGGCTCCTTCTCAGGGGGATGCAGTGCTGATGGTCCTCTCCAAGGATTTGGAACAGTGATAACTTCTCTGGAGAACACAACAGCAGTGGCTCCTTATGGATCTGAAGGCAGAGCACCTATGGCTCCTTGGGTGGAAAGGAAAATTGGCAATAGCTCCTTAGCGGCGGGCAGGGCAGAGGAGAATCCTTTTTGTTAGGCAAGGTGATGGAGGCTCCTTTTGGGGAGGGTAGAGCAGCTACAACTTTTTCTTGGGTTGGGCAGAGTGATGGTGGCTTCTACTTATAGTGATGGCAAAGAGGAGTGGACTTCTGGCAGTTCAGTCAGCTAGGGTCAGTATCTATAAAAGACTTCCTGATGGTAAGGGCTGCTAGAGTCTCCCTGCTGTCCTTTTCTATAGTAGGTTCCCACTTGGTGCCTAACTTTGCCAGAGTAGGGTTATATATATAAGATGCTTCCTACATTTTACTCTATGTACATTTTTATTTTTTCTCTCCACTGAGTTGTTATAAGTTCTTTATTGTATTCCAGAACACTCTCAGAGCTATTTTTGTGTGTATGTAGTTTATTTCCTGTTTTGTTGCTATTTGGGGCGGGGAAGATGAGCATTAGAACCTGATAGTTTTCCATCTTGCTGATGTCACTCCAGTAGTTTTCCATTTGTATCAAAAATCTCAGAATGGGAAAATCTATAGAAACATAAAGCAGATTAGTAGTTGCTAAGTGTCTGGGGAGGAGATAGATAAAGGAATGATAGCTCAGGAGTATAGGATTATTTTTTGGTGACAGTGAATTTTTTAACATTGATTGTGGTAATGGTTACAAAATTCTGTGAATATAAAGACCAGTGATAGTGTACTTTAATGGTTGAATTTCATGGCATGCAAATTATATCTTGAAAAATCTATACTAATAAAAGTGTAATATGCTAATTAGACTGGACACCTGAATGACCTTCCAGACCAAGCAGGGGCTGCGAGGGCTGAGGCAGCCTCCCTGGCTACGAGGGTAGAGCCCTTTGCATGAATTTCGTGTATCGGGCCTCTAGTCTGTTATAAATGTAATATGACATCAGTCAGAGGGGAAGACTTGGATGCAGAGAAACATATTGGGAGGTTTTCTAGTAGTCCAGTTGAAAAAACAAGGGCCTACATTAGGGTATGGATATTGGGAATTAGAGAGAGGAAGTTATGGCAATAAAATATATTGTAGAGGTACAATTGATAGGATTTACCATTTGTTTGGATGATTTATGCATGAAGGTAGGGATACAAATAAGACTAAAGTTTTGAATCTGGGTAACTAGGATGGTTTTGGTATCTTTTCTAGACACTGGGAGCACAGAATGACTAACAGCATTTTTTCAAAAGAAGGAGATGAGTTCATAACAATTTTAATTTTTCATGTACTGTCAGGATAATCTTCAAAAGATGCCCAGGAACCTAATTGAAAATGTCAGATTGAAGCTTAATGGCAAGAGAAGTCTGACTAAGCATTTAAAAATTATGAATACATAGATAATAATTGATATCAGAAAGGCAAATAAGAATTTCCATGGAGAGACTATGAAAATGTAGAAGAGGACTGGAGACAGAGCCTTGGGTAGACAGCTCCTTATAGGAGGCAGCAGCAAGAAAAGAACAAAACAGAGCCAAAGAAGGGAGGACATTATAAGCAGAGAGAACAGTAACAGAGCTGCTTTAACAGATGATTGAACCTAGGCCTTTAAGGAAAGGATAAGTAGAAGAGAGGCTGAGATTGTTCCATGAAGGATAAGAGCAAAATCACACAAAATAAAATGGAGGATGGTATAAAAACGACAGAGAATTATCTTAAAGCTTTTGGGACTTACCCACCTTAGCCACTTAGGAAGACTAGGGAGTTGTGAGAAATTTCTGACCTGGTCCAACTAGAGGTCCATATTACCTTTCCTAGGTGAGGTTCTCACTTACAAATGGAGCATCCCAGAAAGATCAGGCCCAGGACCCAATGATTCTGCTTGTGTTTCCTGGATTTATTATTCTGCAGTAGATCCCATCAAGGTAAATACAATGTTGGCTTCCTGAAGGTGAGTCTCACAAATGGACAAACTGACAGGCAAAAAGAAGCTATTAATGGGTGTAATAAAAAGCCCATCACTGAAATAATAAGGTCTGGGGTTTGGGGGAAAATTCCTTAAATGCTTGGCTTATTTTAATAGACAGGAGAAGGAATTAAGGAAATAGATAACATCACATGTTTGCTGTGAGCATTTTCTTTCTTGATTCTTCTTCTTGGATTTTATAAGCTCTGATTTAAAAAGCCTAGGATTGCTTGTCAAAAGAGTGGGGCTATAGCCTCAAATTTTGTTTAATCCTGCCTTTGGAGTGACTTTAGATAAGTCATTCTGGTTCTGTGTCCTTATCTGGAAAATGGGTTTATGAATCTAGCCACCAATCTACAACCAGATATCAGCAATCATTTATTGAGAGACTACTACATTTTTAACATTTTCTTGGTGCTTTAAATGATATAAATGTAAGATAGAGTTCCCATATTCAAAGAGTATAACCTATTTTGGGAGACAGATGACTATAAACTATAATTATATATATATCTTTAAAACCATGTAACAGTTATATGTGGGTTCACCAGACAGTGATTACTTCTGCTTGGAGGTGGGGATGAATGAGAGGGAAGCTGGAGAAGGCTTCACAATGAATGGAAGGTACATGTACTTTGAGTCTTGAAAGATAAATAGAAATTTGCCATATGACAAGCGATATGGCAGAGGGGAGGACATTTCAGAAAGAAGAGACAGTATGAGAAAAAGCACTGGGTTTTGAAAGTTCTGGTGGTTTTACAGATCATTGAATAGTCTAGCCTAGCTAAAACAAACCTTATATAGCACACCTTACCTGTGTCCCAAGATATTTATGAAGATAAATTCAGGTAACATATTGAAGATGATTATAAATGTAAAACATTATGATGAAGTTCTGAGGGCAGAGTGGGCTTGAATGTCAGCTTGGCTTTCTGCCACTCAGGAACAATCTCATATCTTTCACTCTCTTTTCCTCCAATTTTCAGGACATGTACAGTGGCTTGGTGGGGCCCTTGGTCATCTGCAGAAAGGGCATCCTGGAACCCCATGGATTACGAAATGACATGGACCGAGAATTTGCCTTATTATTCTTGATTTTTGATGAGAATCAGTCTTGGTATCTGGATGAGAACGTGGCAACCCATGGGGCCCAGGAGCCAGACCGTATTAACCTACAGGATGAAACTTTCTTGGAGAGTAATAAAATGCATGGTCTGTAGAAGTCCTCACTGATTATATAGGGGTATCTGATAGACCCATTACTATCCAAGGGTGCATAATTCTCTAAAAAAATGGGAAGGTAGAAAGGTGGAATAGAGACAAATGGAAAAAATGTCTCCTACTATTTTACATTTATATACACAAAGCAGATATGTAGTCTATATTAGATCAGGTCCCAAGAAAGCAGGAATACATATTTGAACATATTAAAGAAGGCAAGATGGACATTTATGAACTTCAATGTATTTGGTGAGCTGGCTGCTGAGGGTTTCTCTGCTTCAAAATCCTGAATTTAGTTTCTCAACATCATCTTATTTATTTACTACTCTAGATCTGATATATGCTTTCATAATATAGACAGATGGACAGTTTATCTTTTAGTCTATTTTTAAAAACAAACTTCAATTTACAGATTGAAGAATTGGTGGAGAGAGCCTAAGATAGTAACATACTTGATTTATATTACATACAAGAAAGAGGTGGGGTTTTTTTATGCTTGAGTGGATTTTGGAGGGACATTGTGCATTCAAGCCCTCCATTGTTCTAGAAATATGTGTATCTCTTCAAAAACAATAGGAAATCTCAAACAAGAGGGAGAATTTAAGTGCAGTGAAATGTATTAAGTCATTTCTCACTATCCCTTCTAATGTAGTATTCCTTTGACCTGAGCATAAGCTGTAGCTTTGTTAATGACTCTAATGAAATTCAAAAGTAGTATTACATTGTCACATGGATTCTAGTTATTTTTTTTTGTGGATATATGAACAATTCACATTGGAAAAGATGTTTCACAAACTACAAAGTGAACTTTATCTCCTGTCAAATCAAAGAAATAAATTGCCCAGGACAAAAAGGGAGTAAGCACAGTTAGATCCTATTAGAACAGGAATTGGGCTAATGCCCATTTCCATCTGCTTGTTTATATGCTCATTCATCCAAAGTCTTCATATACAATCAATCTACCTATCTGTCCATCAGGTATTGGTTAAGAACTTTTTGAAAGCTGACATTGGAGATAAAGTTAAATAATGTAGAGGTGTGAGGGAAAATAAATAATATTATTTCCTTCCCTTTCAGATTCATGAACTAATTCAGAAAGAGAAAGAAATGTTTGAGGTCAAATGTGAACTTATTGAAAAGGCTAATTGGAAAACCAAATTTGGTTCTTCAATTAAGTGGGCTTCCTAATACTCCTCCTGTAATATATAGGTTTTCTGTCCTGTCATTGACATATATGGCCAACATTAGCCATCTTCCTTTTCAGGGACAGAATCTTTTCCACAATGGAATAGTAAATCTGTTTGCACCCCTTTCTATGGTCAGACAGATTCAAGAGAGAGAAGATTCAGAAAAGGCTGAATTGAGTGTGTTTAGTGTTGTTTTTTCTCAAATTCAGTTTGGTGAGGATGAAACCAAAGGTGCATATAAATGTCCCTTCCATTATTTTCCATCTTGAGGTGTAGAGTGGAAATTACTTTCCTTCTCTGAGAACATGAGAAGTTGAGGAATGCGTCTTGGGCATAATCCTGGCAATGTTCATTAACATGACAATGAGTAGTTTATTGTCTTTAGAGTATAGGATGTAGCCTAGGAGGAGGCAGATGATGAAGCTCATTCATTGATATCATTATTAATTTTAAAAAGGTGATGTCTTAAAAATATTTATTGTAAGCTAATGCGTCTTCTGCGTGTTCTGGAGAGTATAAAGGAACAATAGTACTATATTATTATCATTTCCTGCTTACTGGGAACCTAGAATCTAGTTGGGGATACAATCTTCCACAAATTAAAGATAACTAAATATAGAGGCAATTTCTGGTGTGTTCCCAAAGGCAAAACAGACAGTACTGGAGAAGTTCAGAGGTGGAAAGGGTGCAGAAAATGAGAGGTACCAAAAGGAGCTAATCAAAGAAGTGTTGTAGAGAAGGTGAAGGTTTGCTTGGGATTTGAACAGATGGATAGAAGGAGGCAGGATTTGGAGGAGGGAAGTTCCAAAACATGACAAGGGACACAAAGAATATGCATATTGGGACATATGGGGGATGGTGAATAAATTGCCCTACAAGAAATAAGTGTGTTGGATAATGGGAGATGAGTCTGGAAAAATGTTTTGAGGCCATATTTTGAATGACCATGTTGGTTGAGTTAAGAAGCCATGCATGGGCTTGATCTTTTAGGCAGGAGGGAGGTTTTAAAGTATTTTAAACAACAGAATAGCATGGTCATATTAGTTATTTAGAAGTCCACTCTTATAACACCAATGTGGAAGATAAACTTGAGGGGAACAAATGAAATAGAGATGAGAGTAGATAAAAGGATATTGCTATCAACAGAGAAAATAGGGACTAGCCCTAGGGCAGTGGCAATGGAAAGTCAAAATGAGAGATATAAGGACTTTGTATTCTTTTACAGCCATTAATGGAAAGCTCTATGCCAACCTCAAAGGTCTTACCATGTACAAAGGAGAACGAGTGGCCTGGTACATGCTAGCCATGGGCCAAGATATTGACCTGCACACTGTCCACTTCCATGCAGAGAGCTTCCTCTATCGGGTGAGCTAGAAAGAGGGCTGAGTCCCTCAAGGGTGATTAATGGAGTGCCTTAAGAGCCATTGAGGAAGAAGGGAATAGCAAAGAACAAAATAATCAGTTAAATGAGGAGAAGTCTTATACATGGAACATTGGGCTGGAAATTCTACTTTGACTCATATATTCCAGCATCACTTCTGTCTACACCTTAGCTTTCCACTCTGGTATAGAAGAAACAAGTTGCTCATTTAAGGAGTAGGGGGATTGAAGGAATAAATGTAATTGGTTCTCAGTCAAGGACTCCAGACACAATGAGCTGTTATTGCAAGATCTAGGAATTTCAGTGTTGTCTCAGAATCTGAAAATACTTCATCTATTTTAAGAAGAACTTCAATTAAGGAGTTCATAACAAAACATGTAGGTCTTGAAGAAGATTTAGTCTTAAGAAAAGGGACAGAGTTGGAGGCATTGATATAGATGTAAAGATCTAGAAGTGCTGAGAAAAGTGATGATATAAAGAATAACCTATTTTTAAAAATATATTTTATTGATTTTTACAGAGAGGAAGATAGAGAGTTAGAAACATCGATGAGAGAGAAACATTGATCAGCTGCCTCCTGCACACTCCCTACTGGGGATGTGCCAGCAACCAAGGTACATGCCTTTGACCGGAATCTAACCTGGGACCCTTGAGTCCACAGGCCGATGCTCTATCCACTGAGCCAAACCGGTTAGGGCAAGAATAACCTATTTTGATTTTCATTGTTAAAGAAAATATGTAGCTCCTTCGCAGAGTTCAAGGCTTAAGACTAATTCCCCAGATTTCATCCCCAGTTTAGCTTCTTAGAGGTAGCTTCACTATCTTTTATTTTGGAATACTTTAAGAATAAGTAGGAGGTGAAAGAGTCCCCTCTATTGATTTAGTTTGTGTGGGCAGGTTCATTGGGAAGATAAATAAGGTGAACTATTTAAGCTGTTCTCTGGTCTATAAATTGGAGTCCCACGTACCTAATGTGCACTTCCAAGCCTATTGATTTTTATAAACTTTGAGGTGATCTCTATACCATCCACTTCCTCTTCACCCCTAATATCTCTTGCAGAATGGAGAGAGCTACCGGGCAGATGTGGTGGATTTATTCCCGGGGACCTTTGAGGTTGTGGAGATGGTGGCCAGCAACCCTGGGACATGGCTTATTCACTGTCATGTTACTGACCATGTCCATGCTGGCATGGAAACTCTCTTTACTGTCTTATCACAAAGAGGTAAGAACTAACTGCCCAAGCTGTGCCATCTTCTGGCACTTGTCTAGCCTATTTAAACCAGATAATCCTAAAACATATCACTTATTCTTCTAATCACAGGAGAACCGAAATTTAAGACAGCATAGGTGTTCTCTCATCCAATATTTCTTTTTTACTTTTTTATTTTTTTTATTTTTATAATTTCTTTACTGGTTAAGGTATTACAAATGTCTCCCCCCCACTCATTCTCTCATCCCCCTGTCATCCAATATTTCTTATTCTCCATTGCCCCCTTGCTCTTGCCTCCTTCTAATTTCTTTGATACCCATTGAGCTCAAATCTATTGAAACTGCCTGAAACTACTTGGGTTTTAGGCATTTATGCTTAATGTAGAATTTCTTACTTTGAAATATATTTATTTTGTATATAAATTTATTATTTAGAATTAATTAAAGCCACTAACTATTTCAAGAAATGTTAATGAATCCAGTATATAAAAATAAGAAGAAACATAATTCTAATAAGCACTCCTTAGTTGATTTTTCTTGTGAGGATTGTGAAAGACAGTTCTTTCTGTCCTGGAACAACTCTGTCTATGGCTGGAAAGAGATAATAGCTTTTGATTATAGCTTATCTCAGACAAACTTGCTACCAAGAGGAAAATTATTTTCCTTATGATTTTTTAATATGGAAAGAGAATAGCTGCATTAGTTTCTTTACCAATAAATCTTTGTTAGTCGCCAAAAATGTAGAAAGATAGGCTGTGTTGGATTATATTCCTTTGAGTCATTAAAGGGTTAAGTCTCTCACTTCTTAAGCTTTTCAACCTGAGTTCAGTTCTTAGCATTATGCCCCTTCCAAGAGGCCATAAAAAATCTTCTGGAGCACACATAAATCCAGGAAATCTTTTCTCCTGTGCTTTTTCAAAAGTGCCATATGGTTCTGAAAAAAATAGTGGTATTAAGGTAGGTATTCTGAGATTGCCAGAAATTGGCACTCTGTCAAGAATAGAAAGTGGGAGAAAGTCTTCAGGCATTCAAAAAGACTAGCAAATCAAGGTAGGGATTACAATTCTGCTGTTTATCCTGTGGGGGTGGACAAATAATTGCACACTATGATTTCCTGTATGTTTGAAAAGTTTTGTTCTCTGGTAAACCATACTGCTAGAATGTGGCTTCTACGTACTACTCTAGTACTATTTCCTACCACCCAGATAAGCTCTATGGAAAGCTCTTTGTTGTACTGCCAGTCCTTAGAACCAAGTCAAGTGATGAATTGATGTGTCATCAAAATGCTGAAAGTGAAGGATAGGTGGTCAGGTAAGGGGCTTGAGGAGAGTGGCCAAATGTTTAAAATAACCACTCTAGGAAGTTTACTCTCAGTACTGGGAAATTAATTATTGCTTGGCAGCTTTGATGGCTTATTTAAAGTTGGACACAAAGAATACTGATCTTTATATTGTACTTATGTGATTTTTCTCCACCAGCATTTACCATACCAGACATAATACAGGGAAATTATAATTACTGAATTTTGTGTAGATTATGACAACACTCCTTAGAAGTTTATAGTTGAGTTGACAGAACATGGAGTCTAGCCTGACCAAGAAGGAAAGAAAAGACAGGATAAAGGTGGCATGTTAGGAAAAAACTGAAGGTTCCGGGAGCTAGAGGTCTTCATGAGAGGGAAATAACAGGTGGAATGAAATAAATAGCATTAGCATAAAAAGGATAGAAAGCTGTTGCTAGATTTTAGATTTTTGACATGGAGCAGTATTGCATAAAAAGTCCAATGTGATCATGGTAGTAGTTGATAGAAATGGAGTAGATGTGGAAAAGTTATTGGAGTTAAGAAGTTCAGAAATGGTGAAGCTTGAGTATTGGATGATGGATCAACACCTATAGTGAGAACTGAGGAGAGGAAGGCTGAGCCAGGTATTAAAGATTTCCATGAATGAAAAGAACTGCTAGGAACATTGACAAAAAGTGATATGGCTATTCTAGGTAAATAATACGAGCTTCAAAAGGGATAGGTCTTTACAAAAAGGAGAGGAGCAATAATCTCAAAGCACTATTGAGGGGATGTAAAGGAAGCATAGTCCTTAGAGAAGAACTCAACCTCATTAAAACAAGAGGAAGAAGAGGTTGAATATGTAGGGTCTTCCTGAAGGGAGGGTGGAAAGGTTGACAAAAAGAGTAATAATGGTAATAGAGGAAGTGCCAATAAATATATAAATAATGCATAGGGATGGCTTACCTTTCTCTAAGTTTATGCATTTGCTCAAATTTTGTGTCACTACTCAAAAGCAAATTTACATACCAATATTGACTTTGACCATAAGTTAGTTAATACCAGGTACCCTCATTTTTTTGTTATTTTACCCCAGAGATTTCCTCAACCAGTGCCAACCTCCCACAGTGAGCCTGTAGATTGATAGGAAGAATAACAGAACTAACTTCTTGTCTTTTTTTTCTCTCTAGAACACTTAAGCATTATCACCACCATCACCAACGAGATTGAAAAAGGTAGGAAGAGTGATACACATACTGGGTAGTTATATCCAATATGCATTTGTGGGAAGGTATGTGTCTCTAATATATGGGATTCACATGACTGAAAGATGGGCCAAAATACTAGCCGAAAGCATTCTAAGATTTCTACAAAACTTCAGAAGCCAGGAATTTCAGATTCAGCTTCCCTCAGTAGGTTTATTCTCTCTGGCCTCTCCCCCAACCTCCTGAGTTGAAGGCTGAAGAAAGTTTGAGGTCTTGCTGGGTTGGGTATGAAGAAACTGTAGCACAGTCATGAATTGCCCATAGAGACAGTGTGAAACTAGAACAAATACCATAGAGCAGTGGTTTTCAACCTTCCTAATGCCGCAACCCTTTAATACAGTTCCTCATGTTGTGGTGACCCCCAACCATAAAATTATTTCCATTGCTACTTCATAACTGTAATTTTGCTACTGTTATGAATCGTAATGTAAATATCTGATATGCAGGATGTATTTTCTTTTATAATTTATTTTTTATTAAATCTTTATTGTTCAGATTGTTACAGTTGTTCTTCTTTTTTCCCCCCATAGCTCCCCTCCACCACTCCACCCCCAGTGTCCTCATCCATAGGTGCATGATTTTTGTCCAGTCTCTTCCCGCATCACCCACACCCCTTTCCCTTGCAAGAATAGTCAGTCCACTCCCTTTCTATGGCCCTGATTCTATTATAATCACCAGTTTATTCTGTTCATCAGATTATTTATTCACTTGATTTTTAGGTTTACTTGTTGATAGATGTGTATTTGTTGTTCATAATTTGTATCTTTACCTTTTTCTTCTTCTTCGTCCTCTTCTTAAAGGATACCTTTCAGCATTTCATATAATACTGGTTTGGTGGTGATGAACTCCTTTAGCTTTTCCTTATCTGTGAAGCTCTTTATCAGACCTTCAGTTCTGAATGATAGCTTTGCTGGATAAAGTAAT